CTGGCAAGAATACTGTGGGAGACCATGTCAAAAGCTTTGCTAAAGTCAAGGAACAACACGTCCACTGCTTTCCCTTCATCCACAGAACCAGTTATCTTGTTATAGAAGGCAATTAGATTAGTCAGGCGTGACTTGCCCTTGGTGAATCCATGCTGACTGTTCCTGATCACTTTCCTCTCCTCTAAGTGCTTCAGAATTGATTCCTTGAGGACCTGCTCCATGATTTTTCCGGGGACTGAGGTGAGGCTGACTGGCCTGTAGTTCCCAGGATCCCCCTCCTTCCCTTTTTTAAAGATGGGCACTACATTAGCCTTTTTCCAGTCATCCGGGACTTCCCCCGATCGCCATGAGTTTTCAAAGATAATGGCCAATGGCTCTGCAATCACATCCGCCAACTCCTTTATCAGTCTCAGTTGCAACGCATCCGGCCCTATGGACTTGTGCACGTCCAGCTTTTCTAAATAATCCCGAACCACTTCTTTCTCCACAGAGGGCTGGTCACCTCCTCCCCATGCTGTGCTGCCCAGTGCAGTAGTCTGGGAGCTGACCTTATTCGTGAAGACAGAGGCAAAAAAAGCATTGAGTACATTAGCTTTTTCCACATCCTCGGTCACTAGGTTGCCTCCCTCATTCAGTAAGGGGCCCACACTTTCCTTGACTTTCTTCTTGTTGCTAACATACCTGAAGAAACCCTTCTTGTTACTCTTAACATCTCTTGCTAGCTGCAACTCCAGGTGTGATTTGGCCCTCCAGATTTCACTCCTGCATGCCCGAGCAATATTTTTATACTCGTCCCTGGTCATTTGTCCAATCTTCCACTTCTTGTAAGCTTCTTTTTTGTATTTAAGATCAGCAAGGATTTCACTGTTAAGCCAAGCTGGTCGCCTGCCATATTTTACTATTCTTTCTACACATCGGGATGCTTTGTCCCTGTAACCTCAATAAGGATTCTTTAAAATACAGCCAGCTCTCCTGGACTCCTTTCCCCCTCATGTTATTCTCCCAGGGGATGGAGTCAAAGTCTGCTTTTCTGAAGTCCAGGGTCCGTATTCTGCTGCTTTCCTTTCCTCCTTGTGTCAGGATCCTGAACTGGACCATCTCATGGTCACTGCCTCCCAGGTTCCCATCCACTTTTGCTTCCCCTACTAGTTCTTCCCAGTTTGTGAGCAGCAGGTCAAGAACAGCTCTGCCCCTAGTTGGTTCCTCCAGCACTTGCACCAGGAAATTGTCCCCTACATTTTCCAAAAACTTCCTGGATTGTCTGTGCACTCCCAGCAGATATCAGGGTGATTGAAGTCTCCCATGAGAAGCAGGGCATGCAATCTAGTAACTTCTGCGAGTTGCTGGAAGAAAGCCTCGTCCACTTCATCCCCCTGGTCTGGTGGTCTATAGTAGACTCCCACCACGACATCACCCTTGTTGTTAATTAAAAATTAATTAATAAATAATAATGCAGTAATCATCATAATTGATTTAAATCTCTAGCTGTTACAGCTGCAAAGAAATCCTTGAAAATGTGAACTGAGTGTAACTGATACCGTGATGTCTCCCTGAGTTTTCCAAGAGCCTGAAGCGTGAACAGACCCATTACTTTCAAAGGGAGTTCATTCATATGCCAATTGTGATATTTTAATTGTAAATTCACCGTTTAACAGAGCATGTAAAAAAGGAAAGAAGGCATCCTATTAAAAAGATCTACAGAATCTAGACTGAGTCAGCTGAGTCAGGTTTTCAACAACACATGGCAAAGTGAATGGGGTGTGATTAGTGTCACTTTTCTTAAAGGGCCAGCTTGTTTTTCAAAAGTTCAAGAAACACTTATAATGTTTCTCAGTCCGTATCTAGGAGTGTACAATTTTCTGATGATCAAATCTGATCATCTGATGAGATCCCTTTGCAGGCCTTCTGGTGAACTTCACCCACCCAACATTTTGCCCTGTCAGAGGTCTGAATGAGAATAGGGCCTACATTATATATACTGTCAATACCATATTTTATATAGTTCTTTAGTAATATGATAGATAAACTTTTTGAATTTTTCCCCCTCCTTCCCATCCTCCCAGCCCCATCCCCCCTTCTGCAGCATATTCAGTTTTGAAGTTTAGGGATTTTTCAAAAATAACTCCCAAATCTCTTCCGAGCTTAGTATGCAAAAGTATCTTTTCATGTATCCGTTTGTGTTCTCTTTTTTTTTTTGGTAGTTTATTATTTGTCATTTATCTGCTAAGCATGTTATTTGCGGTCTAGTAGTCAAGTAGTATCCACTTAAATCCCATTTATATCTCCTTGTAATCTTTCTGCAGTTAGAAGTTTCCATTTGCAGTAGTTGAGGTTTCTTTGCTTTTTTTTTTTTTTTGGGGGGGGGGGCGGGTTGTGTGTTTTGTTTGTTTTGCAACCTCTAGGTTGTTTTTCAAACCCATTACCCTCACTACCATTCTACCTCACTTTAATGATTCACCAACAGTATTGAGTTTCATCAGATGTGTATAGTTATGTTTATTCTCTGTCAGAGTCTATTGCTGGTGGGAGCCTATCTAGCTGATTTGACACTGGCAGTATGAGATATTAGTTTGCACCTTTATTGTAATGCTTACTCTTTTTTTAAAAAATAGCCAATTGCTTTACATAATGCATATATAACCAACTAACCTAATACCAAATAATGTCAATCCCTGTGTGGGTGGATTAGGGGGCATGCTTGGGCTCTTAATTTTGAAATTTATCTCAATTGTAACATGGCAATAAATATTCCTCGGAACGTTCACCTCTATATAAGGTGCCCATACAAGTCCATTTGCACCATTTAAACCCCAGTTAAACCCTGCATCGAGGGCCAAGCACTTTCAGCTCTTTCTAAGAGTTCGCACTGAAGTCAGTGGAGTAACTCTCTAGATTTACACTGGCATAATTGAGAGCAGAATCTGGCCCACCGTTTCAGAGCCTTGAAGTCGGGAGGGGCTTTGAATGAATAAAGACTTGAGGATTTGGCCCTTAATGCAGGGCTAAAGTTGTTCAAAGGGCCTTGCATTGGCTAACTGCATGGGGCTTTATTCCACTCTACGTGAACTCCCAGTTCATCGCTGTGGGCAAAGTGAGTGCTGCATCCTTTCAAAGAACAAAGCTAGTTAAGGACACTTTCCCCTTCCTGAAATCATGTTGGCTGCCTTGGTTCATCTGTACACTATGCCTTTACATGTTGTTCATGAAGAGTGTGCAGTGCTCTGACAAAAGATGTCAAGCTGACAGCAGTGAAATTTGCTAGATCACCAGAGGGGACTTTCCCAACTAATGACATTGTATTAGTCACTTGCTGGTCCTCTGGTATCCTGCCAAAGCAATGAACTCTTAAGGAAGACTGTGTCTCCTGTTTTCCTCCCAAGCACCATGATCCTCCTGTAGGTTGTTTGGGCCTGGTGCTTTAATTCTTTTGCTGTCACCAATAAGGTGTAGCTGCTCCTGTACTATCCCTCATAAATCATCTTTTCATTTAGACAAATTCTTCCTTAGTAAAGAACATTAACATCTGTTTAGCTGAATTTTTGTTGATTCTCTTTGGCTTGTTTTGTCACTTTTTACCTTTACATTTTTGTTGCATAAATATGAATCATGTTTTCCATTTTCTTCTTCTGTTAGATTTTTCTTGACAATGGGAAAATCCAGCTGACCTTTTTCATTTCATTCTTCATTATCTCTAGATTTTTTTATTTTGGGGGAGGAAGGGGGGCGTTAAGCTTCCAGTTTTTGCACATGCCCTGACATTCAGTGAGATCATCTCCACACTTCATCAACTGCTTTATGCTGGGTCAGGATTCTGTGCAGCACCTCTCATTTCTCACAATGATCACATCAATAGGATCATTGCTGCTGGATGGTTGACACATGTTGCATTATACGTGGTTTGTTAATATGAAATAAGACTGTTTAATTATTTTTATTACAAGAAATGGCACAGTGGTACAATAGTTTTTCTACTGGGTCAAGAGTATACGAGAGAGATTTACTAAGAACTGCAGTCTGAATGCAAAATAGTCTCTAGCCATATGGCTTGCTGAAGAAATTGTGTAATGAAACCCTTCTATGCTCTGTGCTTTCTCTTTGTGACCCTATAGTTGATGGCCGCATAATTGAAACGCTTTATAATTAATGTTCTGGTCATTTTTACAAAGAGCCTTTATTACACGAAAATTTCCTATTACGCCTTCTCATCTATCAATAGACCTCTGTGACATTTCTAATCTAGCTAAAGGTAGCCCTTTGTCATTATTACTTTGATAAACTCCTTTACTACAGGACTTCCTAGTCTAGGACCCAATGCTGCAACATTGAAACTAATGAGAGTTTTGCCATTGACTTCATTGGAAGCAGGACCAGAATGAATTACTGAAGTGAGCTGTAGCTCACGAAAGCTTATGCTCAAATAAATTGGTTAGTCTCTAAGGTGCCACAAGTACTCCTTTTCTTGTAGCCTTCTTGGTATTCTGTGTTTTTTATTTATTTTCTTAAAATAAAAGATGAGCATCTTTATTTTCCTAATCTTTCTTTTTGCTAACAGCTACCTATAAAGTTTCTGCACTCTTTTTGTATCACTCATTGTTCCATTATCTAGATTAAACTTAATCACATTCAGTTTGATATTTGCTAGCTTTCTTTTTCTCCTATCTATTTAATCTAACTACATTACTAAGTTTTTAAAGGCAGGGATTTTGTGTATGCCTCATGTATGTAATGTTAGCATATTTCGGGGGCTGGTGCAGTACAAATAGTTATAGAATATTCTAGCCATGAATGTCCGTTATCAATAAATATATGTATTTATAATGTATTTATAAGCATTTCTATAGCATGCAGCACCATACTATTGTATCTGAGTACTAAATTTGCTTCTTTTTTATTTAACTTGATGTTTCAACCTCAATTAACTACAATTTACAAACATGCTAATAAAAATAAATACTACTCATACATCCTTGGATTTTGCAATTCTCTGTTATGCTCCCCAGGTTCACAGCAGAACAGGAAGTTGATCTGAAAGATGTTTTGAAGGGTCTTGGAATCACAGAAGTATTCAGCAGAAATGCTGATCTCACTGCAATGTCTGGTAAGACGCTCTTGTTTCCAGTCTTTCACAATAGAGCATAAAGTCTCGACGTTATTGAGAGAGAGAACAAAAAAGGACTGCGAAATTGGTTTTTGCCAATAATATAGTAGGTTTTTGTGACCCTGCAGCATTCTTTTAATATGACAGTGTGCATTTATCACTGGATTGTGAACTTTCCAAGAACAGTTTTGAGAGAGATTATTTTACAAGCTTTACCAATCTGTGGGTTTTACCTTTGCTTAAGATCCCTCTACTCCTGGTGTTATAAGTGGCAATGCTTTTGTTGCATGAGTAAAGAGAAAAAGGAACATTATGCAAAAGGTGGATGCCACTGGCATGATGAACAATATTGAGGCCTCTTATACACATGGCCTTAGTGGTTCAGTGGATTTGTTTATCTCATAGCCTGAATTCAAACAGCAAGTGACTTGTCATCTCTTACCCCAGGGGCCATCTGTCCACAGCATAAAGCTATCGTAAGGTTAATCATCTTCTGTGTAGAAGAAGCATTGGAAAGGAAAAGTTTTTAAGATTAAGGCACATGAGCACAAATAACTACATCCGCTGCATGTCTGTTCAAGCCAGTTGTCAGCATTTCACTTTCATACCTACCAAGATCCTTTAAATTTAAAAATTCATTTCAAATAGACTCAGCAAAAAGAGCTGGGTTGGTTTTTTTAAATGAATGTGAAGTCCAGGAAAGGTGTTGAGCAGACAACTGCAGGAAGTGACAGAGTGCCGTCCTTCTCTGAGGAAATTACTCCCTTACACGCAACAGTAGCAGGCAGTTCTGTAGCACAAGCTCCCCCATACTCAGTCCTGACCTGACGGATGAGAAATTGATTCAATCTCCAGGCTTATTTGGTCCCTACTTTCTAGTTATCGGCTATTGCCAATTAGCTGACTATGATGGTTTAATGGAGCTTAAGGCCAGAAGGGACCATTATGATCATCTAGTCTGACCTCCTGTGTAACACAGGCCATAAAACTTCCCCAAAAATAACTTCTAGAGCATATCTCTTGGTACAATGTCCAATCTCTATTTAAAAATTGCATTGATGGAGAAACCATTGGAACAATTTACCAGTTACTCACCATTAAAAATTTATGCCTACTTTTCCAGTCTAAATTTGTCTAGCTTCAACTTCAGCCATTCGTTACTGTCATACCATTATCTGCTAGATTGGAACACTCATTATTAAATATTTATTCCGTGTAGATGCTTAAAGACTAATCAAGTCACCCCTTCTCTTTGTTAAGCTTAATTGACTAAGGCCATAGCTGCAGGATGGGAGGGTGGGGGCTATATCCTGGGAACTCTGAAAAAGTTTTGGGGATCAAGGTGAATAATCTGCTGAACATGAGCTCCCTGTGTGGTGCTCTGGCCAAAAGGGCTAATGCAATTCTTGGATGCATAATCAGGGGATTTCCGAGTAGGAGTACAGAGGTTATTGTACCTCTGTATTTAGCACTGCTAGGACTGCTGCTAGAATACTGTGTCCAATTCTGGTGCCCGCAATTCAAGAAGGATGTAGAAAAGTTGGAGAGGGTTCAGAGAAGAGCACCGAGAATGAACAAAGGATTAGAAAACATGCCTTATAGTGAGACACTCAGGATATATGTTCTTTGTTCCTAGATGTATATACATTTATGTGTAGCCTTATTAAAATGCATATTGTTCAATTGTGCCCAGTTTTATTAAGCAATCCAGATCTCTCCGAATCAGCAACTTTTCTTCATTTACCATTCCCCCACTTTTTGTGCCATCTGCATACAAATCACTGGAACTTTGGTTTCTTCCAGGTCATTGATTTAAAAAAAAAAAAAAAAAAAACGCATAGGGCCAAGAACCAACCCCTGTGGGACCTCACTGGAAATAGACCCTCTTGATGATGATTCTCCATTTACAGTTATATTTTGAAACCTATCATTTAGCCAGTTTTTAACCCATTTAATGTGTGCCATGTTAGTTTTATATCATTCTAGTTTTTAATCAAAATGTCATGCAGTACCAAATCAAACACCTTTCAGAAGTCTAAGTATATTACATCAACGCTATTATCTTTATCAACCAAATTTGTAATCTCATCAGAAAAAGATATCAAGTTAGTTTGACAGAATTTGTTTTCCAGAAATCCATGTTGATTTGCACTAATTACATTACCTTCCTTTAGTTCCTTATTTAAGTCCTATAGCAGCTGCTCCATTATTTTCCCCAGGATCGATGTCAAGCTGACAGGCCTATAATTACCCAGGTCATCTCGTTTACCCTTTTAAAAAAATTGTCACAACATTAGCTTTCTTCCAGTTTTCTTGAACTTCCCCAGTGCTCCAAGACTTATTGAAAATCAACATTAATGATCCAGTGAGCTCCTTGTTGTAATTTACATTTATATAGCTTTGTCTCCCTTGTCCCAGAACACTTCACTAGTCTTAACAAACTGATATACAATCTATACCAAACTTCAGTGTGGTGTGGACATTAGGAATTGGACTGTGGAAAGAAAACAGCCATAATTACTTTGTCACTGCTATGCTGGGCTGGATTTGAGCTGTTAAGCCATATCCAGCACCCAAACTCCAGAGCCACCCAGTGCCCACAGAAGTACTGGTTGAATTGTTCCTGCTGTGGCCTTCCGCTTGCAATCCTTATTCTACATTAGCTCTGCAGTTGTGGTGGGGGGGTTGTTTTTTATATACCTTGGTTATCCTCAGGGGATCCCACTGTCCTTCCACCCAGGAAGCTGTAGCCCAGGGGTTCTCAAACTGGGGATTGCAAGATTATTACATGGGGGTTGCAAGCTGTCAGCCTCCACCCCAAAACCCCACTTCACCTCCAGCATTTATAATAGTGTTAAATATATATTTTTAAAAATTAATTTATAAAGGGGGTCGCACTCAGAGGCTTGCTGTGTGAAAGGGAGTCACCAATACAAAAGTTTGAGAACCACTTCTGCAGCCCTTCTGGGTTGCTGCTTAATCACCCAGATGGATACCTGAGTCATGGGAAGTCTCCTTTCTCTATCACCTACTACAGCGAATCAGAGCCAAGTGAAGGTTTTCAAACAACAACAGCAAAAAGTTTTAATCTGAAACTTTCACCAGAAATGTTAAGGTTTTGTTTTCCAAATGTTCCCTTTTTGCAAAGTTAGATATTTTTAAAAAAATAAATAAATAAAAATTGGTTCACTTTTCCTTCACCAGCTTTCTCTTTCTCTTCCTCCAGCCCTCTGGCCCACCCTGTCTGTCTGTCTGTCTTTCTTTCTCCATTACATAAAATGGAAAAGGGAGGGGGCAGGAAATATAAAAATGAATATACAAAAAATTATGCCTTTTTAAAAACCTGCGGAATGAATTTTCCACATTTTTCGTGAAGAATGTCTTCCATTGTTTTGACGACCTGTAGTGGAAATGCTGATCCCACAGTAATCTGTAGCTCTAACACAAGAAAAATCTTAAAATGAATGTATCAAAGATAATTTTGGAAGTTCACTTAAGGTGTTGGGTGGTGGTAGGACTGGCCCTCCCTCCCAGTCTGTCTATGATGTAGTATCCAATAGTGCAATGGAGCATGTCCCCTTATTTCACTCCATATACAACACAGAGGCATAAACATCAGTGAGCAGCTCTGCACACAGGAGTGCAACAGATGGATTGAATTTGTTTGTGTTTAATCCATGAGATTAGTTATTTGTTCAAAGATTTATATTTTGTACAATTATGTCTTACAAAAGCAAGAAAGAGTTTAAGACCACACATATATCTTGCTTGGACAATTTAACTTTGCTATTTAAAGGCACAGAGGCACTATATTTATGGCCTATTACAACAATCTGTAACCCACAATAACCCCCCTTTTGTGTCCTGTGACTAGAGAAGTGTTAATGGGCAACTTCACCTTCACTGGTCTCTTAGCATATGTGTTAACTACTTATGATAAACAATCTATTCCACCGTGGATTTAATTCTGAGGCTCTGAGGGCTTGCCCATGCTTAAAATGCTATGTTTTAGACACTAGCTACAGCAAGGGGAGGGGTTCTCCTGGAGAGGCAATAGCTAGGTTGACAGAAGAATTCTTCCATCCACCTAGCACCAACAATGGGATGCAACACGACTTCTGAGGGTCCCTAGCCTCCGTTTGCTGAAAGCTGGGAATGGACGACTCACTTGATTGCCTGCTCTGTTCATTCCCTCTGAAGAACCTGGCATTGGCCACTGTCGGAAGACAGGATATTGGGCTAGATGGACTGTTGGCCTGACCCAGTATGGTCATTTTTATGTTCTTAGGACTGGTTGGTTTAACTATGCTGCTCATAGTGGGACTTTTCACAACCCTCACCAACGTAGTTAAAACGACCTAATTTTCTTGTGCACACCAGGTGTGAGACTCTTTCCCAGACCTTAAGAGCTCTGTGTAGCTCGAAAGCCAGGGTTGGTCTGCACTGGGAACTTATTTTGGCATAGCTACGTCTCAGAGGGTGTAAAAAATCAGCACCTCTGAGATGTAATTAAGCCGACCTAACTGCCTTAGTGTAAACAGTACTTGGTTGACCCAAGAATTCTTCCATTGGCCTAGCTATTGCCTCTCAGAGAGCTGGATCACCTATGCCGATGGGGAACCCCTCCTGTCAGCACAGGTGGTGTCTACACTGAAGCGCTAAGCAGCTAAGTTACAGTGATGCAACTCTGCCAGTGTAGCGTTTTAAGTGTAGACATAACCTTGTTTCTTTTATTACAGAAGTTGGTCCAATAAAAGATATTACCTCACCTATTTAAAGATTAAGTTGTTTATATTGGTATGTAAAGCATTAAGTACAGCAATGATTAACGTTGCCGCGCTCTAATTTTTCCTACTGAATGTCTGAGGAGATGTCTAAGGACATTCATAGTTTGCCTATTTCTTAATTTAATAAAGTAATAGAGACAAACTTTTGAGAGAGCTTTTTGTAAGTTCAAAAGTTTGTCTCTCACCAACAGAAATTGGTCCAATAAATGGTAGTGCCTCACGCACCTTGTCTCTGTAATGTCCTGGGACCAACATAGCTACAACACTGCATACAGCCATCAAGCATAAGCATTCCTTAGGGTTTAAGACTATCATGAGCTTGTAGATGGCATTTTTCTTACTCCAAAGGATTTCTTTTGGTAAATACATTGGTCAGCTCAAATATTTAATCAAATTGTGGAAAGATTCTCAACTAGAGTAACTGAAATTACACTAGATGGAATGGAAAATTACAGGCTAGGCCAGCCAATAGATAGAAGGGGGACTATAATAGGAGTGATATGTAAAAGAGAGACTTCTAGCTATGTAGATTATTAGAAGTGTTCATCAGAATATTTCCATTATAATTGACTAACTGTTTTTGCATATAGCACTTACTGCTGAGAATTTACTTGTTCCACATGACAGAGTGGGTGTAGCCTAGAGCTGGCTCAGCACTCTGTACTTCCTAAGGGTCTCCCCATCTGCTGAATAGGGAGATAATTGATTAGTTCTGGATGATTAACCAGTCAATAATGTGATTCAGTTAGTCTGCTATGGACCATTAAATGGGCAACGGGAAAGTAAGGGGGAAAAGAGCTGGATGGAAAGGTTAAGAATCTGAGAGATGAGACTTTTCTCTCCCTTCCCCCACATCTAAGGGATATGCTCAAGCTTCGGAAAAGCCATATGGTGATAGGACATGAAGCTGCATGATATGCTGTAAATAAAATGCACTGTTGTGAACTTTATGTAAGGGTGTGTGGAGACTGCTTGCAAAGAGAAATTCAGAGTGGGGGAGCACACACACACACACCCCATGACATGCCAAAATGCTGCAGTTCATTCTTCAGAAAATTCATTTTGTTTAAGTCTGAATACTTTCCTATGAGTGGTCGCTTTACAGGAAGACTGCCTCTGGATTAGTGGTGCAAATAAACCATTTAGACAAACTTTTTGGTAAAGTGCAAAAAGTAATAATCACATGTGAACGCTTCACATATTATATTTTTGAGATCTTTCTATTAATAGCTGTTATGTCAATACCTAAATGAGTGAGAGTTCTGCTTAATCCATAAGATAAACAGATGCTTTGTGACAGATGTGCCACAAATAATACAGTGGAGGCTCTTTCTCCCTGCTTTCAAGACAACAGCAGCATTTCTGACAGGTTTCAGAGTAACAGCTGTATTCACAAAAAGAAAAGGAGTACTTGTGGCACCTTAGAGACTAACCAATTTATTTGAGCATAAGCTTTCGTGAGCTACAGCTCACTTCATCGGATGCATACTGTGGAAAGTGTAGAAGATCTTTTTATATACACACAAAGCATGAAAAAATACCTCCTCCCACCCCACTCTCCTGCTGGTAATAGCTTATCTAAAGTGATCACTCTCCTTACAATGTGTATGATAATCAAGGTGGGCCATTTCCAGCACAAATCCAGGGTTTAACACGAACGTCTGGGGGGGGGGGGGTAGGAAAAAACAAGGGGAAATAGGTTACCTTGCATAATGACTTAGCCACTCCGAGTCTCTATTCAAGCCTAAGTTAATTGTATCCAATTTGCAAATGAATTCCAATTCAACAGTTTCTCGCTGGAGTCTGGATTTGATTAGCAGCATTTCTGAAAGCTTAGAACTGAAGCCTAAAGCTTGTACCGTTCTTAGCAGTCTCCTGTAGGTTTTACCACATATGATCCCATAGGAAATCAGTTGGGGATTTTGTTGAAGAGATGCTGAGCAGTTGAACTGTGAGATCTAGTTCAGTTCAGAGCCAACCTAGCTCATCTTGAGTTAATGAGACGTATTGGAGTCATGTGATAGGCAGGGCTGTCTTTCCTCTCAGTTGTTTACATTAGCATTGGAACCATTATCTTTTGTTATGAGAGAGAGTTGACATAAATGAAGATCAACTACAAGAATATTCCCACAGCCTTTTCTTATGGTGGTGATTCAGTGTGTTCAGTTAATGATTTATTTGATTGATAGGTATTGGTGTTCTAAGGGTTACGTCATGGAAGGCTTCAGAAATAGAGAAGGTTTTTGAATCGATTGGCTTCTTAGTTTAAATTTTGCACGTTGATTTATTTCCCTGTTATGAATATTCTATTAATTTCCCACCTCTCAATTTTTTTCTCTTGTGTCTATGTGGATATGAGATATTTCACCATGTTTATTCCCTCCGCCCTCTCCCTCCCCTCCCCCTTCCTCAGACGTTCTTGTCAACTTCTGGAAACGGCCCATCTTGATTATCACTACAAAAGGTTTTTTTTCCCCTGTTCTCCTGCTGGTAATAGCTCACCTTAAGTGATCATTCTCGTTACAGTGTGTATGGTAACACCCATTGTTTCATGTTCTCTATGTGTATAAATCTTCCCACTGTATTTTCCACTGAATGCATCCAATGAAGTGAGCTGTAGCTCACGAAAGCTTATGCTCAGATAAATTTGTTAGTCTCTAAGGTGCCACAAGTACTCCTTTTCTTTTTGTGAGAGTATATGTACAGTGTAGGTTAATCCAGTGTGTATTTATTTTTTCTGTAATATATTGTGTTGCTGAGGTGGGGTGGAAAATAGTTAAAGATTGTAGTAACTGGGAGTGTAAAGGCCTATTGCCAGGCCCTTCTATGGTCTGATCCTACTGCCATTGAAGTCAATAGCAATGACTTCAGTAGGAGCTGGGTCAGATTCATACTGAATTGCTGGGATGGGAGTGTGAGCACACAAGAGGGAGAAAGCAAAGGCTCAGTCCCTCTCTCAGTGAACTCAGAGTCAATTACATCATTTCCATTGGTCTCACTAGGTATGAAGATGAATCCTTGGTGATCACTGGTGGTGATTCTATTGCAATACCATCTGACATTTAATTTTTAAAGTCAGGATGGAAAGAAAATATGCATGAAAAATTTGGGCCTGATTATGCAAGCTCCTTCCCAGAAGTTATATAGCATCTTTCAGCATTGGTTCAAAATGGAGAAACAAATAACTACTCTCTGCTTGTAATGTTACATCCTTTCCTTTCCTCTCCAACTTTTGGTCTGCCTTGTCTATTTAGAGTTTAAGCTCTTCAGGGTATGGACTGTCTTTTATTCTGTGCTTATATGAAACCTAGCAATGAGGGCTCTGTCTCAGTTGGTGTTTCTAGGTGCTACTGTGATACAAATAATAGTTAAATAAAAATATAAACAAGGAAAAGGCTGTTTAAAACCAAGATGAGGGAGGAAGTCATTGCAGTTGAATTTGTTCTTTGCCTTCAGGTCTTGGAGGTGTTTTTTTAATAATAAAGCTTTTTTTTTAAAAGCTTCACTTTTTACTAACCCACTTTAAAATGTCTCCTTTTTTTTTCTTCCCCTCCCCCCAGATAGCGAAGAGCTTTACCTTGCTAAAGCAATTCACAAGTCGTTCCTAGAAGTTAATGAGGAAGGTGCCGAAGCTGCTGCTGCCTCAGGTATCTGACTCTGAAAACAGGAACTCAATTATGGGTCTGGCTGTCCTATATTAATTAGTATTTTAAAAATGTCTTGGTGCGGAGCCGAAAAGCTGAGCGCAATACAGCATGAGGATGTAGTCTGGCAAGTGTCCCTCCTTCCCGGAGAGGATGCTGGAAATTGAAAATGCCAACATTTTCTTGATATGAGTGTGTCATAAAGTGTCTCAAGTGCTCAGTGGAAAATATTGCTCCTTTCTCCCATTTCCTTTCTAATGAGAGGTGGGAGGGTACGTGCTGCATTTTTGAAGATAGATTTTCTTTCTGAAACTTGAATCTTGGCAATTTGGAATGGTTGTGGTTATTTTATTTTCCCCATCTTGTGTGATTTGCTAATTGAGAAGGTCTGTGTGTTGTCTCCAAAATGGTTAGAAGTACCTCAGAGACATTGTTGTGTTTTAATAAGCACTTAAACAGGGGTGTGAGCTGGGATGCAATAGCTGGAAAAGGCTAGCTTACCAGCAGTGATGCTTCAGGGGCCAGATGGTGAAAGTGCTTGGTTGTCACAGACAAATCTTGATTGTCCCTCTTGCAAATGAGTTACTTCATTTGCCAACTTGCTTGCATTATTATGTGATTTCTCTCCATAAGTACTTGTACTATTCTTCGAGCAAGAGAAAAGCAGCATCCTTTATAGTCAATCCCAGTGATTCTTTTGAGCTTGACATTTAACATTCATGTGGGCAGAGATTATTGGCATGCATAGGTGTTTTTTTTAACTGCCAATGCAGTCAAAGTGAAAAAGTTAATAAAACACTTGTAAATAATAAAGCCTTAGTGAAAACCTTAGAAGATTTCCAAATATAAGAAAATACCAAATGGCCAAAGTCTGCCGGTCTCCTCATCTATTTTGCCTTTCTCTTTATTCTTTAAAATAGAGTAAACAACAAAGAGCTAAATTAAAAATGGCAAGGTCAGCCCACACTCTTAACTCGTCTATTTAATAAGCAGTTAATGTGAGTACCAGGGTCAGGCTTAGAGCTCTGTCTAGCACAATAATGCATTTTCTACTGTAATGCATTTTCCTTTGAAAGGGAATGGCCTTCATTATCCAGAGGTTCTGCCTTTTTGTAAATTATAAGCTGTTTCATCATCACTGGAAATAAATTGTGCCATTGCCCATTGTTAATCCTTCTCCGAGCATACATAGACATGTAATTACTTTGTAAGCCTGCTTCCTTTTAGATTAGAAGTGTCATGCTATTTGGTGACAGTGCAGTCATGTAGGCTTTAATTCCTATTCAGGGGCTTTACAAATATCACGTGTGAAGAAGTTAACATGCTGTATAGAGGGAGAGTATGGGGAAGATAAAGCAATACCTGACATGCTGCTTGTGTGTGTTCTCTCCCCGTTAGGAATGATTGCCATTAGTCGAATGGCTGTGCTGTACCCCCAGGTTATAGTCGATCATCCATTTTTCTTTCTGGTCAGAAACAGGAGAACAGGTAGGTGTATGCAGTTTCCGAGCTGCTTTCTCATTGTTTACAGTGAATCCCCATCAGACCCATGCGGCAGAGGCGCTCTGTTTTGGATCAATAAACTGGTCTCAGAGAGTAATTTTTTTCTTTACTTTCTGCTCTGCAATGCTTTGTGTTGAGGGATTTTAACTAATCTCTCATAACACACATTCCTTTAACACTCCTCCCAACCCCAACCTCACACAGGAATAGCCTGAAAAATATTATTGCTCTTTTTTGGTAAGGGATCGTTGGAAAAATTCACCAATAAACTTACTGAGGGCTGAGGCAAAATTGTCATTGTAATCCTAAACAATAGCTCTATGTTTGACTTCATCAGGGGACACAGTCCTGAATCCCCTTGTGCAGTCAGCATTCTTTGAACATACCCTCTGACTTCAGTAAGAGCTTCACTTTTGCCCCAATACTAAGTGATTTCCAGAAAGGACAGATATTGCAGTTATGAATAATTCTCAGGTTCCAATGGTATATATTCTGTGGCAGGCAATGATGAGAACAGTACTTGCTGGCAATACAGCCTCTGATGAAGCAATGTTTTGGTTTGATATTTGTAATTTATTCTTGGTAATGTTGTGGATGTGACTGGATAACAAACAGCATGTTACTATGTGGCCACACAGGAGCTGGAGCGGTCTGTTATGACATCTCGCCTAGTCTGGAGCAAAATTCAGTCGCTGCAGGTCACAAGGGTTTTCGTGCATCGGAGATCAGTCTGGCCCAGCATGTGCAAGATCTGCTTTCTTATTATTAAACATTCATATTGCAGTACTGCCTAGAGTTGGGGGCCCGTTGTGCTAGGTGCTGTACAAACATTAAAAGCCTTTGTCTCAAACCTTGCATATGGTGAGCTAGGTGTGTCCAAGACGCCCTACCAATGTACTGTCCAAGCGGATTTAAGCTACAGTGAATTAGTGAATCACATTACTTCTGAATGAGGGCATCCACACAGGGTTTAATACACGATAACTTATGTCCATTTACTGAGTGTCCCCTTAGAGACCCTTCCAGAGAGATGGGGAAGGGGAATCTGATGGGCGTCACAGAAGGCTACAAAACCCTCAATCTGATAGTGTGTAGTGAGCAATTTATGCACTGTGCTATATGTGGGGACTGAATGACTGAGGACAGTAGTACTTGTATATACAACTTTTTGCCTCTTTGTATCCTTCAAATGAGAAACAAGTCCAGTAAAAGACCAAAGTTTCATTCTTTTTGGAGTCATAGGGAGCCTTGCCAGGGAATTCAATGGTAGCAGAAACATGAAATTATCATGAAAGTTGCCTGTGGGCAGGTGTCCACATTTCAGTTGATCCTTCTTGAGATCCTCCACCTAGAAGCCAAGGACTGAATGGATGTGGACACTGAACTACCCATTGACATCAGTGATGGTCCCTCTAAAGCCGAATGAAGTCAATATGCATCTTTCTATTGATTTCAGGGGCTTTGGAGCAAGCCTCTGGAGTGTTGAGGTGCATTGTCAGGGCAGTGGAGAAGTTTTCACTGCTTCTGTCTGCGCTGTACCTGTTCTGAGTACAAACAGAGGAACTCATTCTCCAAGGCTATCAATCCATCACCTCTCATGGATACTAAACTCAGACGTGTGCGTGTGTACGTACGTACATGCATGTGCGCACACAATTTATAAACATTGTGCCCTATAAAATCTGTATCCTTATCAGATGATGAATAAATCACAAATAACTTCAAACAATGGAGAGTGGTTTAGAAGTGTATGTCCTTCTTTGTGGTTCTGATTTGTGTGTTCTCTCATTGGTTCAGGTACTATCTTGTTCATGGGAAGAGTCATGCACCCAGAAGCAATGAATACAAGTGGCCATGACTTTGAAGAACTTTAATAATGCCACACACTAAAAAGGAGGGAAATAAGCACACTGAGTTTATAATTGATATATTTAAGGTTTGCTGTGTTTTACAATGTACCTTAAGACACTGTTGAAATACTTCCATATTTAACGTGGTTTAAATTACAAGCCAAGTTTATGGAGGAAAGCTTTCAGTATTAAAATAATGGTTCTGTTGCTGTCATTGTGATTGCTGTGTCAGTCCTTAAAATAAAATTGTATACATGTCAACAGCTGTGTTTCTTATTTTAGTGAATTGTACTGCAAAAGTTTAATTCGTAAGTACTATATTTGTTACACCTCAAAGCTATCATGATCAGTAAGACTAGACTAGAATGTCTACAGTTTTTTAAATATTACCAGTGGCAAAACTTGATAAATTATTCATCTGGTTTTATTAATTATTTGAAAAATGTAGTCTCTCTTGAAATATTTGCAAGCAGAATGTAATGTCTTGTAATTCATTCATTATTTGAATGCTCTTATGCAAATCTTTTTAACTCTCTGGATTGATTGTGAACTGTTCTGAAAGTAAGTATTTAGTATTCACTGTGCTGGTTCGTTGTGATGGTTCAGATAAGACTTGTGGGGTGAAATCCTGACCTCTTCGATGTCGGTGTAAAACACCCACTGACTTCAGTGGGGCTAGGAGTTCGTGCGTGGTGACATATAATCTGTTGGATAACTGTGGTAGCCCTTCTTCTGTTAAGACTCCCACATGTGAATCTAAAATGCTGTTTTTATGAATACTCCTGCATGTGACTTTAAAAATTCACTTTCCGTGAATGCTGATGCCAGTAAAACTCAAATTGCATGAATGTTTGTGAATAGTGAGCACAGAGCATGACTGAACTGAAATCATTTACATAGTCACATAAATATTTGTGGATATTTTCCCGCCTCGCTCCTCCCCCACCCCAATGTTTGCCTGGCTCTACTCACTAATTCTATCTCCACAGCTCTCTCACAGTAGTGAGCAACAAGAGCATGTCTACAAAAAAGGCTCTTTCAGATAATCCTAAAATGTGTGAAAATGATGTTCAGTTTGTGAAATAAATGTCTAATGAAATCTAATCCTCTTTCTTCCTAAACTTCTTACTGAGAACAAAGTGCCAGATGGAACATAATGATACATGCCCCACTCTAAATATGAGATGGGATGATAAATGCCACACCCACTCACAGGAAGGAAGAGAAAGTACCCGCCAGTGCCAGACGCTGACATATAATTATCACTTCCCACATTGTGTAAAATATAAAATGAACTGTAATTCCTAACAAAGGTGAAAGGGAAAAAGAAAGAAGGTGGTAGGGCTGGAATCCAGTCTATTGCAGAAAATAGAGTCTGCGGGTAAGAGGCAATGTGGTTCCTTCTTCCAGTCAATAGGAATTTTGCCTTTGAATTCAGTGGGAGCAAGCTGAGGCCTAATTTCTGAAAAAGGTATTGGCTGAGCTTTAGGTGGAATTATTCACATAATTTCCTGGTATGTTTTCAGTTTAAACCAAGCCCTCGCAGGCACTTCTTACATGCTGTACAAGGGAAAGAACGTCCAAAACTTGGCACTTTGTTGTTCGTGGGACACTCTCTCATGCTCCCAGGCTCAAAGCTTGAGCCTAGTGCTCAGGCCAAAGAGCTTGATGAGTGCTGGGAAGAAGCGTTGAGAGGAACGAAAGGAAACTTAACTGAGCACGCACCTCCCAAGCCATACTGCAGGATGACGCTCTCCATGGAGGCTAGTTACAAATGCCTCATGGAAACTGGGCAGGAGGATCCACTGAGTGGCTGATACGCCCCCCACCCCACCCCACCCCCTCAGGCAGGCTGAGCCATTTGAGCAACTATCTAGCAGCACCTTCTGCCGTGGAACTACCCCAGTACTGCTACAAATTGGCCTCACAAAATTTCTTTATGTATTGTGTTCTGGACTCTGAGTAAGAATTTACAACCTCAATATCGCCTCCACAGAGAATCCTATTTCCTAATCAGCCCCCAAATTAACTCAGAAATTGGAATTTATATTTCCATAGAGTCCAAGGCCAGAAGAGACCATGGTGATCATTGAGTCTGACTTCCTGTATACTTTGTTTCCTTGGTCCTGCTTTAGCACAGGGGGCTGGACTTGTTGACTTCTCACGGTCCCCTCCACCTTATATTTCTGTGATTCTATGATAACACAGGCCATAGAACTTCATGCAATAGTTCGTAGAATTTTCCCTTTGGAAAAACATCAAAGCTTGATTTTAAAATTGCCAGTGATGGAGAATCCACCATAACTCTTGGTAAATTGTTCCAATGGTTCATTACCCTCACTGTTAAAAATGTGTGCCTTGTTTCCAACCTGACTTCTATACATTGTATTGTGTTAAACCTTTCTTCGCTAGATTGAAGAGCCCATTGTCACATATGTTTCCCCATGTAGGTACTCGTAAACTGAGCTCAAGTCACCCCTTAGCCTTCTCTTTGTTAAGTTAAATAGATACTCAAGGAGCTCAATCAGTATAGGGCATGTTTTTCTAATCTTGTAATCATTCTTATGCCTGTTCTCTGAACTCTCCCATTATCAACATCCTTCTTGAATTGGGGACATCAGAACTGGACACACTGTTCCAGCAGTGATCACACCAGTGTCAAATACAGAGGTGAAAATGACCACCTACTCAGTATTCCCATTTATGCATCCAAGGATCGCATTAGCCCCTTTGGCCAGAGCATTGCACTGGAAAGTTATGTTCAGCTGATGATCCACCATAACCCCCCAATCCTTTTCAAAGTAACTGCTTCCCAGAATAGAGTCCACTTTCCTGTAAGCATGGCCTACTTTCTTTGTTCCTAACTGTATAAATTTTAAATTTAGCCATACTAAAATGTATATTGTTTGCTTGCACCTATCTTAACAAACGATCCAGAACCCTTTGTTTCCAAGACCTGTCCCACCTATTATTTACCACTCCCCCAATTCTTGTCATGGGCAAACTTTATCAGTGATTTTATGTTTTCTTCCAGGTCATTGATAAAAATGTTAAATAAGATGGAGCCAAGAACTGGTTCCTGCAGAACCCCACTGGAAACATAACTGCTTGATCATGGTTCCCCATTTACAGTTACATTTTGAGACCTATCAGTTAGTGAGCTTTTAATTCATTTAATGTGCACCCTGTTAACGTTATATCATTCTAGTTTTTTAATCAAAATAGCATGCGGTACCAAGTCAAATGCTTTACAAAAGTCCAGGTATATTGTATCAGCACTGTTACCTTTATCAACCAAACTTGTAATCACATCAAAAAAAGATGTTGTTAGTTTTGGCAGGATCTATTTTCCATGAACCCAGGCTGATGGGCTCTGATTATATTACCCTCATTGCAAGTTACCTGGACCTGTTGATTTTAAAGTGTTTAAATGTACTAGCTGCTGTTAACATCCTCCTGAGATACCAGTGAAATGGAATGTATGCTCATATAACATGACATCATTTTTCCCCTAATACATAACTGAAATATTTATTGAAAACTTGTGCATTTTCTGCATTACTATTGATAATTCTACCATTTCCATCTAGTACGACCAATATCATTACTAGGATTCTTTCTGTTTCTAATATAGTTAAAATGTCCTTATTGTCCTTCATTCTGCTGGTCATAGATTTCTTCTTGTGTCCCTTTGTGTCCCTTATCAATTTTCTACAATTCATAGCTTCTGATTTATATTCATTACTATCTAGTTCTGTTTCTTCCATTTGTTATATATTATTGCCTTCACTGCCTTCGTTTTCCTTCTAAACCAGGTTATTTTTTAACCAATATGACTTTCTTCCTTGAACTGTGCTATTGTGGCTTTTTCGCTATCTAATAAAGTGTTAAACAACTTAGTCATTCACATTTTTCTGACTAATTTCTTCCTTCCTGATAATTTGGCTCATAATTTGTTTTCAGCTTTGTGAAATTGGCCCTTTTAAAGAACCAAGTATATATATTATTGGTTTGGACTTTATACTGTTTACACATTATAAATGTGATCAAATCTTGATCACTTGTACCTAAGCTACCATAAATTTTTAGTTCTATTATCAGTTCCTCTTAATCTGTCAAGATGAGTTCTAGTATAGAATTTCCCCATGTTGGATGCAACACTTTTTTGAGTTAGTAAATTTTCATCTATAATATTTAGAAATTCCAAGGATATTTTAGAACTGGCTCCATGAGACCTCCAGCATATGTCACTCAGATTGAAGTCCCCCATGATCATGCAGCTTTTTTCCCTACACATTATAGATAAGTGCATAAGGAGCCAATCCTCCTTTTCCCAAGTGTGATTTGGTCTGTAGCAACATCAGCTAATATTCCATCTTGTGCTTTATCTGTTAGGACGTTGATTCATAAGCATTCAAGATAATTTTCTTCATTTTATGCTTATGTTTTTTTCGTATATCAAAACAATAAGATAATTGTACTTTTGTTGGTGAATCAGACGAGACTTCTTTAAAAACAAAACTTTCCAAGTTAATGGCCAAATCCAGCTCTGGTGTAAGTAGAAGCAACTCGACATCTGTAGAGTTGGCCAATATCTGAGTTTTACCCAAGATGTACAGCCTCTGTCATTTTCAGGGAAGTACTTTTCATTGTTTCTAGAATTGTTATAATACGTGTTTAAACATGCTTCAGATGTGCTAAGTAATTATGATCTTTTTGTCATTAAACCTGTGGGAGACAAGAAAATGGCTAATAGTTTATATATCAAAGGCCCTGGTTAAAAATATCTTCAAGTGCCAAACATGCAATCAAAAAGTCTGAAATACCTTTTTTCCATTCAATACATACATCAAGTGCAAACATCTCGAGAAACCTAACAATCAAATATCAGTCTAAATGTTTGCATTATGAGCTAATAAGAAAACACTTTACATTCTCAAAGCACTTTACAAATTACTAATCTATTAGATGTTCTTAGTAATATTGCTTTTAGATTGTAATATTGCTGGCTCTTTCACGCTGCATTTCTATATGTTGTAGTCAATCTTGTTGACATCACCATAAAATCTGCAGCCAAGTTCAGGGATATTGATGAGAGCATTAATCTTCTTAATTTGTTTGCATTATGTTAACATGCTACTTATTATGTTATAATGTTAATAATGGACCAAATGTCCTCGCAAAAGCCCCGCCAAAGCTGCTCTCTAGGGCTTAGGTTCCAGATCTAAAAGATGCAGCAAGGAGTAAGACTGGGAGAATGCCTGCTTTCCATATTATCCCCACTTCATTTTGGAAAGCAAGCCTGTGCATGTTAATGCTGACTGTTTCAGCTGTAACTTGCCTAGGGTCCTCCTCTGTAGTATGAATAACTCCCATAAGGGAAGGGCACCAGGAGTAGCCCTTTATCACACTCATGGAGACAAGGCTACTGGGTACCGCACTCAAGGTGTCCTGTGCTTGTGGTAGAGCCTCTGAAATCTAGGTCAACCTTGGGTGATCTGCAGGTCTGAGGGACCTGATTCTTGCCCCTCATGAGGGAATGAGGCAGAAATTAACTTTCCTAGCCATTATATGAGAATAGCGGACTGTGGAAGCCTATTCCTGATATGAACAGCAGTGCACAGGAAAGAAGAGCAAACATCCCATGCATAAGAACAGCCATACTGAGTCAGACCAATGGTCCATCTAGCCCAGTATCGCATCTCCTGATAGTGGCTAGTGCCAGATGCTTCCGAGGGAATGGCCACAACAGGGAAATTGAGTGATCGATCCCTTATCTTCCAGTCCCAGCTTCTGGCAGTCAGAGGCTTCTGGACCAAGAATAGGAGGTGGGTGCTTTGGTACACAGGCTGCTTTGCCAGAGATGAAATAGTTATTCCATGTTTCTTGAAAATACAAGAGTTTATTACTAGCTGTGTTGCTGAAAACCAAATTAATAAAGTTGTTATCCACAAGTGTTGGGCTATAGAACACAAGCTATCACTCAGCAAGAGGATCTCTAGGATAGCATATTTTTTTTAGATAATACAAACATGCTGGATATTATTGCCAAGATGTTGGGAGATGTGTATATATATAATTGAATTCAATGCTATCTGCTGTTG